AGAGATAATTTTCCTCCCTGCCTTGGAATCTATAAGTGGTCATTCATGTCCACAAGTGAAGGCAATTATACGTTCTAAACATCCCCACATCGTCCGGCGACCCTCTCCGAGATGACATCCATCTTGCGCACTAACACAGGCAACGCCGCGAGGACATTGTCCAGCTTACGGTTCACCTCGAGTAACGTCCCAGTCTGTGAGGTCACCGCACGAGCGGCACATTCCATGGGCGCGGGTCGCACTCCAATCGCTCCCGTCTTCCCAAATTTCCATAAAACCAGATATCCTCCCACTCCAATCAGAAGAAATCCAGTGATCATCAGGCCGAACATCCACAAATCTTCCACGTCCTCGATGGACAACTGAGAGAGGCACACGATTTGCCAGACCTCCCAAGAATCGAGTGCATATCCCGCTGCGAATGTCCCCTCGGGACAGGTGGGAGCCCTGTAAGGGTGACGGAGGGGGCATGGGAGTTTGCCCAACCAATCCACATGTGTTTTGTGGATTTGGACAATGCTCATGACCGTGGCCCCAGGGGCACCCCTGTGGGGGACACTCCAGGAGTATGGGGTGGGTGGCTTTCTGTTAAGGGCCATTCTGTCCCTTTACCAGAGGAGCGTGAGTTTGGTCCGCATAGCCGGTAGTAAGTCGGACCTGTTCCTGGTGAGGGTTGGACTCCGCCAGGGCTGCCCTTTGTCACCGGTTCTGTTCGTCACCTTTATGGGCAGAATTTCTAGGCGCAGCCGTGGTGTGGAGTGTGTCGAGTTTGGTGGCAGGAGAATCTTGTCTCTGCTTTTTGCGGATGATGTGGTCCTCCTAGCTTCATCCAGCTCTGACCTTCAGCTCTTGCTGGGTAGGTTCCTGGCCGAGTGTGAAGCAGCTGGATGAGGATCAGCACCTCCAAATCTGAGACCATGGTTCTCGACCGGAAAAGGGTGGCTTGCCAACTCCGGGTCGGGGGAGATGTCCTACCTCAAGTGGAGGAGTTTAAGTATCTCGGGGTCTTGTTCACGAGTGAGAATAGGGAGGGATCGGGAGATTGACAGGCGGATTGGTTCAGCGTCTGCAGTGATGCGGACGCTGAGCCGATCTGTCGTGGTGAAGAGGGGAGCTGAGCCAGAAGCCAGGCTCTCGATTTACCGGTCGATCTACGTCCCAATCCTCACCTATGGTCATGAGCTTTGGGTAATGACCAAAAGAACGAGATCGCGGATACAAGCGGCCGAAATGACTTTCCTCCGTAGGGTGGCCGGGCTCAGCCTTAGAGATAGGGTGAGGAGCTCGACATCCGGGAGGGGACTCTGAGTAGAACCGCTGCTCCTCCGTATCGAAAGGAGCCAGTTGAGGTGGTTTGGAAAACATGCTGAATAACTCAATACTGGAAAAAAGGGTTATATTAGTGTAAAACATTAGTAAGCAACATGTTAGCCTTTCAGTTTTGCTCATTTAGTTAACCGTCAGCCATCCTGAATTGGACTACAAAAGTTAACCAGCAGCTGATACTTGATTACTTTCTGAAAGCTTTGATAAAACCCACCTTGCGGTTCAAGAGCTATTTTACCAACACACACACACACACACACACACACACACACACACACGCGCGCGCACACACACACACAGCACACACACGTGCGCACGCACGCACACGCGCACACACACCCAGGCCAAACATCAATGCCGATTTCTTTTGGAGGTGGACATTACCTCACGGACAAAGAACTGTTTCCCTAACATTCTTATTTTAGAGTCATCATTCTCCTCTAATAATCAACACTGAGGTCTTGTAAACTGTTCAAACCAAACAGAATAATGAAATCTAAAAGTTTTATAATCAGTGGTACTCTGAACATTTCAATCTGGAACCCAAACTCTTTCTCTGTGGTTCTGAAGCATCGTTTAATCTACTCCCTGAAACCAAAATCCTCTGGCTGAGAACAGGCCCAGACAGGAAGAGACAGTCTCCAGAGGTTGGCTTCACTTCCTGTCATCTGAATGGGTCTGAGAGACGAAAATAGTCCATCTGTTTCTGATTTAAAGCTGCCTGAGGAGGAGGAGAAGAGGAGGGAAAAAGAAGGAGGGAGGAGGAAGGTGGAGGACGAATAAACAGCTGTGCAGATGTGAATGAAACTCCTGTGTGCTGAACACACTGCAGCATATTCACTATTCATTAGACTGAAAACACAACAACTGCAGTCAGAATCATAAACACACATCGGCTCTACACGCGCGCGCGCACACACACACACACGAGAGAGAGAGAGAGAGCGAGAGAGAGAGAGAGAGAGAGATGAGAGAGAGAGAGAGAGAGAGGGAGAGAGAGAGAGAGAGAGAGAGAGAGAGAGAGAGAGAGAGAGAGAGAGAGAGAGAGGAGAGAGAGAGAGAGAGAGAGAGAGAGAGAGAGAGAGATGAGAGAGAGAGGAGAGAGAGAGGAGAGAGAGAGAGAGAGAGAGAGAGAGAGAGAGAGAGAGAGAGAGAGAGAGAGAGAGGAGAGGAAGAGAGAGAGAGAGAGAGAGGTGAGAGAGAGATCGAGAGAGAGAGAGGAGAGAGAGAGACGAGATGAGAGAGAGAGAGAGAGAGAGAGGACTGTTACACTATGAACAGACCGTTGTCGTTGTGTGTGATTTTTACTTTAGCAGTTGTGTTGAATGAAATGTTCTGTTTCTGATTGTGAGCCGAACTTGCTTCCAAGGACCATCAGCACTCGCATGTTCAGTGAGGTTACATAACATTTCCTGGAGCACAAACACAATTTGAAACTTGAGGCTTTTCTGAGCTGATGGTTCTGCCCTGGTTCTAGGAGCACCAGTGGAGGGTTTTTACTAACGTACAATCAAACAAAACTCAGCTCTGCTAATCTTCCCTAACTGATGCTGTGATCAGTTTGATCTCCACAATAAGAGGTAAACAGGAAGTGACATTACTAATGACAGGATGTGCACAGATGACCCTGGTTCGCCTGCAGGAAGTTCAACATTAAGCACACAAGAGTAAATGGTGGGGTTAGTCACTAGGTTTTAGGGTTTAAGGGTTCCAGCATTCATATATGTGTTATTGTCTAAATCGATCAGTCTGTCCTGACGACCCTGGGTCTGGTTCTAGTTTCTCAGATTTATAAATGTCCCAGCAAAGTTTAAAGCCCTCACACATTGTCCAGAACCAGTTGGAGCATCTGCGGATCCATCAATCCAAACAGACTGATGTCCATCCTCACCAGGCTCTACTGGTTTACCGGTACTGCCTGATCCCGGTCCAAGTACCCGAGAGGGTCTGAGTCTGCAGCAGCTATTGGACTGGATCTGAGCTGTTTCTCTCAAGAACCATGTGGGTTTCAACCATTTATAAAAGCAAGACATTCTCAGTCCAGACTGGTCTCATCCGTGGTTCCACGATGAAAAGAATGAGATACTAGTCTGAGCTCACACTAACTGAACATCTGGACTGGTTGTACTGGGATGCAGTGTCCTCAAAACTGCTTGTAGTGTTGTTTCTGGCTGAAGCTTCATGCAGGTCCTCAGTCCAGAGAAAAACCTGCTGAATGACTGAATGAAAATGAAGATGATTCTGCAGACCTAAACATGGGGCAGATCCAGAAGCAGTTGGTACCCTGGTGTCATTTGGATATTGACTCCAAGCTCTAGAATAATGTTTTTCTTAAAGAAATAAAAAGGAATATTCAACACCAGCAGCTGTTTCTGGATCTGGCTCTACCAGTTACCTTAGGGTGACCCATCTAGCTAGTGGATAGATCACAACCAGCTAAGGGTGACCTTCACATAAGCATTGTTTTAGTATAAACACAAAACTGTGTCACATCAACACAACACCCCCATGTTGGAACATAAACACAGATCCTCCTCAGCAACTAGAGCTGAGCTACACTTCAGCTCCAAGTGTCTGCTCAGTTCAGCGCTTGATTCTGGAACGGGTCATCCTGAAGCGGACCAAGCTGGAATCAATATGGTCGTCTCTGAAACAGAGTTCCCAAAGCGCAGAGGAACGCTCTACTCAAGCATCTGTTTGGACCTTTAAACTGGATCATCACAGAGTTCACACTGACCAAACCTGACTGAAACAAACACAATACAGAGGAACCTGCTCAGAAAGATGTTTGGAAGCTGCAGGAAGCTCCGTGTTCTTCATGTGATTCTTGTTTTTTATGAAACGCATCAGTAACAAGAACAGCAAACGGTAAAGTACAACTGTTCACATGGAGGAGCTGACGCATTCATAAACAAGGCTTCTTCTAAGAGACGCTGAAACATACAGCAGAGTCCGCTCAGACACATTTAAAGTGGTCGTTCAAAGGACACTTAAGCAGGCGTGTCCAAAGGGCGGCCAGGGGGCCGTTTGTGGCCCTTGGTGGGTTTTTGTGTGGCCCCCAATTGGGTTTCTAGAATGATGAAATTTGTCTCTCCAGGTTAAGCCTGAGAGACAAATTTTTACTAATATTTCTAATTAGGATAAACATTGAGAGGAAAACCAATTTTAAAATAGACCATACAATTATTAAAATAAATAAATAAATAAATAAAAAGAAAAATAATTATATAGATATTTTAGCCTGCATGAACTATTAACTTGACTATTACTCCTGCAGCGTTTGTTCAGAGACTCCAGTGTTCAGATGGAGACACTAACGCATTAGTTTGGACGGAGTAACTAAGTTGTTTATTCAGACCAAAAATACTAAAGTGTCAGCTTGGATAAAGAAACTCTAGTGTCCATTCAGACCCTGACACTGAAGGGTTCATGAACAAAGATTCTAGTGAGGTAAGATGTTCAGAGTAGCTGAAGTGTTTATGAACATCTGATCTTTACACAGTCTCAGTCATCCTCATGGTGAGTCAACTCTCCAAGTGGACACTTGGCCGTTAACAGTGCTGTTACACAGCTGATTATACCCACGAGTATACACATTAGACATGTTCAAACAAGTCACTGACAGATGTGATGACTGTCTGACAGTGATGGAAAAGTGAGTGAGAGCTCCTCACCGCTCAGTTTGGGGTCAGTTTTCCTGCGACTCCTGTCTTTGCCTCTTAATCTGGAGAAGGTCCTCTTCAGCAGGGGCTCAGCCATGCTGCACCTCCTCCTCCAGCAGAAATCCTGTGGAGCAGAGCGGAGACAGAAATCCAACAAAAGCAAGAGTCAGCGGTGCACCTCCTTCATGCTCCTGAGAGGAGCTTCATACTTGGCCATGACTCCTTGTCTCCTTCACTGTGAGAGCAGCTCGACAGGAAATGAATTCCTCACATTCTTTCCCAAACTCCCCCTTCTGCTCCTCCCTCTGTACCTCCTCCTCCCACTCTCCACCCTCTGCAGTGGTAAGTTGGAGTGGCTCATGGGAACTGTAGTGCCACCTCCAGAACAGATGTTTGAACAGGTCAGAAACATTTCTCTGGAAATTGTTGTACGAAGGCAGCCGAAGTCCAAAGAAAAACTCTCCGTGTTCTTCAAAAAGTGTGGAGAAGTTTGGATCAGGACCGTTCAAACTGATTTACAAGAACGTCTGGCAGCTGGGGAGGAAACTGAAGACAGGACTGGATCAGGGGCTCTGGGCAGAACTGCACAGCAGTGCAGACTGAGTTTTAAACCTCTCCAGGCCTCTGAGTCACTGGCCTGAAACAAACAGCTGCAACCCCTTAAAAATGATCAAAATAAACAAACTCACCAACTCATGATTTCACAAACAATGCCACAACAAACACAATTATCTGAAAAAAGAAATGTTAAACAATCAGCTAATGTGGACTCAAATAGTCACTAAAACAGGTCTGTACAGAAAATATTAGTTTACCAGAGATTAATAGGGGCACCATCAGTGATTAACACGAACCATCCCAAGCCTGCTCTTTTAAAGAAAACATCAGTCCAGATTTCTGATACTGAGATGACATCGTAAGATAGTTTATACGTGGTAACATCTGGATCTGTTGTCCACAGCTCATCAGATCTCCTGAAATGAAAACAATTATCTTCTCTGAACGCATCAGCTGACTAGATTTTATAAACACAGATGAATGAATAATAAATAGACTGAAGCTCAAGTGAATCCATCCATCCATACGAGAACTTACAGTAGCTGGTCTTTAATGGGATACTTGGGAAATGGGAAACTGTTAACACAGCTCAAAGAGACACTTTACACTTTTTTAAATAATTTTCTTGAGCCAGTATGTGCTGAAATGACCCTTTACAGGGTCAATGAAAGACCACCCAGCCCCTATCGTCCTCTGTGTTTCTCTTGCAACTTCAGACTGTACTGGACCACTTGTGGACTTCGAGAAAAAAAATTGCTGACATACCTGCCTCTGGAGTCTTCTTCCAGCATGTTTCCTGCGTGATCATGAACACAGCTGATTTTAATTTAGTGATGAATCATTCCTGTAGAAACTAATGAAGGCTGGGAGACATTTCAGGTGTTAGATTAAGGTGTTAAAAAGACAAACGCACAGCAATGAGAAAGGCTTTGCGTTCGGTTGTACAGACACCAGAGGACGCTAAAAGCAAGCCCAAACTGCCTTGTTCTCCTTTAAATGATAATGATAAATGACCCGCACTTGTATAGCGCCTCTCAGAGTAAGGACTCCAAAGCGCTTTACACTACAGTGTATCATTCATCTGTTCACACACACACTGATGGTGATGAGCTACAATGTAGCCACAGCTACCCTGGGGCGCACTGACAAGAGGCAAGGCTGCCGAGCACAGGCGCCACTGGTTCTTCTGACCACCACCAGCAGGCAAGGTGGGTTAAGTGTCTTGCCCAAGGACACAACAGCAGAATTATCTGTCCGGAGCCAGGATCGAACCTGCAACCTTCCGATTACTGGACAACCCGCTCCACCTGTTGAGCTACTGCTGCCCAACATAACAGCTTAACATACTGTGCAGCATCTCTGGTTGTGAACGCTCAAGAGTAATCACATTGGCCTGTCAGACAAAAATCAGGCTTTACTTTAACCAAAAGACACAAATCTGTCATTTTCATTCAAGTATTTTATTCTGAATTCAGTCTACAGTACAAATGCTGCCCTTTAATTGGGCAGCTCAAAGCAGGGAACAATGTTAGCAGGAAAATGTCTTACATTCATCTAAAGTAAAAATATAGAAAAGAATCTGATTCATAAAATTAGAAATGTAGAAACAGGAAGACATTTTGTAAACAGCATCTATCTTTTAAAAATTAAACCGTAATCCCTTTTTCTCATTAATGTCTCGTTAATAGTTTCAGTGCTTTTAAACTACTCAGTCACACGGAAAACAGAGACTGTAGTTCTTTTACACCACAGAAAACAAACTTCACTGTTAGGAGAACCCTGAGTTCATGCATAAGTGCCTACATCTTTAACTGTGTAATAGCCCTTTTCTTACTGCTAAAATGACAATGAATATGTCAGCAAGAGGTCAGAGGTGAGCGCACTAACACTGATTACTGATCAGGTAATGTAAAACCATTCACACCTAACAGAACAGGTGACCCAGTCAGAAGCTAGGTAGGAGAGGGCTGGCAAAGTTCTGACAGTTTCAGAAGTATAGAGTGTTCTGTAACACAGTCTCAGCGACGGTGATGATAGCTAACCCATCACCATGACAACAGAGTGAATGTGTTCAGATAAAACCAGGCCCATGGTACCAGAGTCTGAGGGTTCTGAGGAGCTTCATTTGGGTGTTTCTGGTAGTTTTCACAGTGCTGAGGTGATGCAAGAAAGACTAAAGCCAATTGCTGACTGGCAGTACAAATACTCAATCTATTCATCCAAGTCCTTCTGACTCGTGTTGGAGAAACTCTTGCTCTGAGTTGGGAGCCAAAACATCCAATAAAAGTTCTACAAACTCCCTGAAGTGACAGAAAGGAACCTGACTGGTCCTTTCAGAGGGCTGGGCAGAGATGTGATTGGATGGTTTCTGACGTTTCCATTACAGTACGGCAGATCTGGAGTGACTTGTTCTCCTCCTCCTGCAGCTGCTGTGTTCAGAGGCCCATGGTGTGGTTGATGTGACCCTGAAATCACACCAAGATGCAAATTAAAGATGAGAGGAAAAATAGTCGGCTACAGCTCTCAGGGTGCATTTCACCAAGAAACAATCTGTCAGAAATCATCACAAACATGTAGATGCAGCATTCAGTCAAAACAACAAATACAATAATTTCTCCATCACATTGGGAGGGACAAACTGGCTGGTATGGACAGCCACAATTACAACAGGATTTACATTTTAGATTTTACAAAACAATTCAAATGAAGGCCCTACTGTAGTACATGGTGTAGAGGATTCCTGATAAAAGTTAGTTAAAACCAGATTCCTTTAATTATCTAACCTTCAACAGGTCCCTGGAGCACTAACCTGGACATTTGGGGATTCTTCTCTAATGAAAATGTATATTAAAGGGAAACTAAGTAAGGTTTTCATAATTTTAAACCATTTTCCTTAGCCAGTATGTGCTAAAATGACCCTGTGCAGGGTAATAAAAATTCACCCAGCCCCCTCCACTCCTTGTGGCCAGACTACTACAATTACAACTGCAGAGTATCTGGACCGCTCCCCTGAAGTCAGAAGCAGTCATGTTTTATGGCAACCCCTGTTTACACCTGAGGACAGATGAGCTAAACCTGGTTAACATTATTGTAACATGTTCATCAAGGTAAAGAATCAGAAGAGACAAAGAAAACATTTATTTTACTGAGCTAAAAATAATAAAAAGTACATCCGACAACAATAGGAGGCAAACAAGATTCAACATTGTGAGTTTTCTGAATCACGAGAGCTCAGAGACAAGAAGACAAATTGGATCTAAAGATCATCCTACAAATATTTGAATGGTATCTGCCATTTTTTAATCAATGAAATGATTCTTTATTGTAACAGTCTGATATTGACCAAACAGTCCAATTATATTTTTAAGATTCAGGGTTGCATACATTAGGTGGCAGGCTTTCCCCTGACCAATAAGATGGCTGAAATAAAGGCGTAGAGCCCTGTTGGTCAGGGCGATGTCAGTGTGTTTATATCTACAGCTGAACAGACTTAGTCTTACCGATTCTCCTCCGAGACACCGGGGGCAGCAAACCTGAGGAGGTCTGGGCAGGACTGCAACAACCTGGATCATTAGAGGAACATTTCAGTCCTCATGAAGTGGCTTTATATGAGTTATTTATATAGATTAAGGATCCAGTGACATCACTCAGAGTGACCTGAGTCACCAAAAAAAAAAAAAGGAAGTCCTCAGACAGTAGCTATAGTCATGGTTAGGTAGATCGGTAACACATTAGTGGCCAATTACTGTTACTTAAAACAACTCTTGCTAAAAAAGTCAAATGTTTCCATTGGAGGCGCTATAATGCCTCTTTTACGCTGACTCAATTTTGTGGCTGTTGTTTAGTTTATGTTGTTTGTTTCCACCAAAGTTTGTGTTTTACTTTTAGGATCTGTTGTGGTGTGAAAACATCAGAAGCCCAATATCTCAAATCTTTGTGTGTTTTGGGAGATGGTTGAATATTTACACATTGTTGTCATAACAACCTGGACTTACTTGCTGCTGATTGGTTACAGGGACAAAGTGGGATGTTTCCATTGGGTACTCAGCCACCTGTTGCTCTGTCTCCAAACACATCCGCTTCTGAAATCAAAAGTTATCATTTCAATCTGCTTTTGTTTCACCACTAAAAGCTGTTTTAGGCCAATTAGGAGTGGTGTACCTGTTTGACCTCCACTATGTTCAAGGGGTAATTATTGCAGAAAATCTACTTGTTCTGGGAGTTTTACGAATGAAATTACTGAAGAACAAGAAAAAGGTCACTGAATGTAGTTTTTATTTGTTATAAAGTTGCTCCCTGACCTATTCTAACTATTCTTCCTGGTTTTACCTGTTGACTTGGTGGATTTTATCTTGTATGTTTGAGCAGTTTTAAGCATTATACACAGAGTCCGAAATAACATTTTTTACTCACCGGCCAAGTTGGATGGTAGATGATGAAAATCTACCGGCCAAGCATATTTTTTACCGGCCAAAATTCTAAATGATTTAGATCTACCTAAAGCATGTTATTCTATATTATGTTGATTCCAAACAGTGACAAATTAATTAAAACATCAATTAATAAAAACAACTCTTTTGTCATTTTTACTATTTATTTATTTTCAGAGATGTTTTTATGAACTCTTTCATTGAAATCTAGTTAGACTCCTTGTTTTCTCTGTCCATGAAGTCTGGCCTCCTGCTTCTGACACCGTCTTTGTGCCAAAGCATTACAGCCTCATT